CCCCAAAACCCCAAAACCCCAAAACCCCTAGCTGCTCAATTGACTACCACACTCTTAAATAAAACTAATTAATTTATTTGATTCACAATTAAGCAATATTATATATTATTTGAAGAAGAATTCACATATCATGGAGTTTTTGTTGAACTACTTTACCCAAGATGAAATTGAAGACTTCCAGCTGCTCATATTTTCATTTGTTATTTGGAATGTCGTCAATCTGATAGTGATGTACGCTGACTTGCCAGATAAGCATCTGCCCAGGGATGAGATGCTCGACATGAGAAACAGAATTGTATCATTCTTCCACGGAGCAATTAGTTTGGTGCTTGCTGCTTACAACACTTACTTCCTACATGGCTAGTGTGGGGACAAAAACACTAGATTCGAAGATAAGATCCTCATCTTCTCCTGTGGCTATTTCTTCTACGATTTTGTGGCTATGCTTTATCTCGGACTCATGGACAAAAGCATGTTCATTCACCACTTGATCTGTGTTTTCGGCATGGCCTACTCCGTCATCTCAAACTCTTCAGCTAATAACCTCATTGCAGCACTCTTCACAGCTGAGATTTCTAACCCAGCTATGCATGTAAGAATGGTGCTCAAGCACCTTAATCTTAGATACTCAAAGGCTTATGAGTGTGCTGAACTCTCCTATATAAGTAAGTACATAACTCGCGATCAGATGATTTCCCCAATTAATCTTATAAATCGATTATCCCATATTTTCAAATTAATTACTGATATTCAACCTTACTAACTATATTTTTTAGTGCTATATATCTATGGCAGAATGATTTTGGGAGTGCCCGTTCTCATCAAGACAATAGCCTGTGATGCAAACCCTCTTATCTAGAAATTCTTCGGCTCTGGACTCATCCTATAGTCAGTCTATTTCATATATAAAATGGCTTTCATCCTAAGAGCAAGATCAGCTGAGTACTCGGAAAGGAAAAGAAAGGGAATAAAAATGCAGTGGTTTAGCGCTCTCACCTAAGAATAGATCTCTCAAGTTGATCTTTACAGTTCAAAGAGAAAGATCAAGGTTCCCTGAATATAGAAGGTTCTACAATTTATTAAGGGATCTTTAAAATCACTATTAACCTTAAATTATTAAAAAAGCTAATTCTTAAATTTCATTGGCCTATTCCATTTGTGTAATTATTTGAATATTGATATCTATCATTTTACCTCTTATTTGAGGACTGAGGGGTTTTGGGGTTTTGGGGTTTTGGGG